ACAGTCTCAATGGCAGCGGTAGTCACTTGCATCTTGTGATCTGTGTCCCAAGTACAGTACAGTACGACCCAAAGGCAGATATTATATCCTCTCGTCTAAGCCCAACCTGGCTCTTGGCGGTGTCGGTCGCTTCTCTTGCGGCGGCCAGGTTGTCCACAGGTTGCTTTTCGACTCAAGCACTGGTTGACCAATGGTCCAGTTCTAGCGGATTGATGAGCATTGCTGCCAGCTTTCTCTACGCCGGAAAATTCTGTGATTTGCATAGGTAGCTTGAGGGCTATTTTCCAAGTGTTTGGGGTGCTATCTACCGCGGCTGAACCGTCGCCAGTTATACTCGCCACGGATAAGGCTTCACGCATGGCGAGAAGCCTGAGGAGGTCTTGGGCTTCTCAACTGTCGAAGCGTCCCGTCCCAAGCGTAAACTGTGTCGTTACTCGAAATGCGCCAATGTTTGGTTTCTATCTCTTGTGCATAATCGGGTTCCTCCCTTGTCAAAATAAAAGTCGACGCACCTGTCAAAGGCACTAGTTTCTTAGCGTCAGGGTCTGGAAACACGAAACACCACTAATAAACGCTCGTTTTTAGCTGTCCCAGCGTACGCTAACTTTAAAGAATTGTGGTGACTTGAGCAGCCACTAACTACTATGTCGTAGCTTGTGCTCCACGGATTTTTAGTGACGCTTAGGCCAAGAAAAGCCCCTTCACAACCCTTAGCCACTATTTTCCCCGCCATAATATTCTCTATCTACTGTTGCCGTTACCCAGGGTAATGTCAATCCTACACGGGGCACTTCGGCGCCAGCTTTGGTGCTTTTCGCTTCCCACCATCCCCGGCTCGCTGGCTTACTAGCTGCTCGGATACCGGACTGGCTGCTTGTACCGATAGCTAGCCGTGTCGGAACAGCCTTTGTAGTGTTCTTTGGCCTACGGAGAGCAGTGGCGAAGCCTGTAGGTATCGGCCGGCAGATCGTATCCTAGCTACGTAACTGGTAGACCCCCGCCCACTGTAGCTTATAAACAGGTTGACAGGTACACAGGAGTGCCCATACAACGCTACAGAGCTCAATCCCAGAACTACTCGCACCCACCAACAAACGTCAAAATAAACCTTTTACAAAAATGTACGACCTAGAATGGACCTGGCCCGCCTGGAAGTTCGGGTTACAGATTGACGACCAATTCAAAGAACTCCAAGAACTCTACAACACCTTTCCATCAGCAATTCAGAATCCACAGGCGTTCCACCTCGACCTTTTGGAAATCGCCACCAAGGCAACAACCAAGGAGGAGCTTTACAAAGAGCTAGCTATTCGAAGGCAAACACGCTTTTTCGAGCTCAATCACAGCCTCGGATCACCGAGTTGTGAGATCGTGGCCAACCCAGCCTTACTCGCCGTTTCGCAGTGGCATCACGCTGTGCAGATCTTTCGCACAGGATCGCTAGATTCACTGGTCAAATATTTTGCATCCTACCTCACCAGCGTTGGCTGAATTATAACCAAAGACACACCAACTGAATGATGCTTGATTTATATCTGCATGATGCAGGAACTGCTAACGATTGGCAGCCCGGCCTGACACATGAACTGAAAGGCGGCTGTAACAGAAATGGCACCCTTCAGGGTTTTCACACTGAGCTAAGACTACATGTCTACAGCAAAAAATAAACCCCCTTAATTGTAGAGATGTTCTGCTGAGGAATTATTTCCTGAATTAGCAAATGCGGTGGAGAGTCCGCAAGCCTGCTCGTTTTGGAAACGGCGACAGACATTTTCATCAATACCCCAATTCTTTGTATTCGTCTACTAGAAAAAAAATACTTTCCATCGGTATGTAATATGGAGGTAATCTCGACGCGCCAGGCGAGAACCATGGGGGCGCCTGAAGTGTTCATCCGAGCTGTAGCATAATTCACCACAAATATACACATGGTGAGAGGGAGCTTTTCGGCCCAGCTGGAACAGGGCGATATTGTCATGAAGTTGGGCGACAAAATACCTGTGCGTTGGG